CCTGCTTCAGTCTCTGAGAACTAGGATTACAGTTATATGCCATTGCATCTGGTTTAAAATTGACATTTTAAGCTAGGCCTGGTGGTGCATGCCTGTAATCCCAGGAGGATCGCTGCAAGTTTGAGACTAGCGAGACCCTGTCTCAAAAAAAAAAAAAGGGCTGGGGATTTAGCTCAGTGGCGCTTCACCTGCCTCACAAGAGCAAGGTCTTGAGTTTGATCCCCAGTACCAAAAAAAAGGACTTTAAATCAATAGGGAGAATATTAGCTCTTTAATAAATGGGCCTGTTTGATTATATTTGGGTGGAGGGGGGAGTTATGTCCTTACTCTTGCTAAAATCTAACATAATAATTCAAATGCAGAGAACATAAAAGAATTCCTGTAGGTGACAATCCTCTGTAGTATGTGTCAGCCACACTCAGGCAAGCAAATAGATTTACCCACTGTGATCCCATCTACTATTTTTCAAAAGCAAGGAACAATTTACAAACAGTAAAATGATCTGTGATCATATGAGGAATTTCGGCCAGTGTGTGTGTGCCCCTGTGTCACTGTTATCCCAACCATTTCCTTTCCCCTTTATGGTTCCCTCCTGCTCATTTCTGGTCAGTGCACACTGCCTTCCACAGAGGCAGTGGGTCCCACTTGCATCTCATAGATTAAAACTTCAATTAAAACTTCATTTAAATAGAATAACACAAAAGGTACTCTGTTGTGTCTGGCTCCTTTTACTCAACATAATTTTCTGAGCTTTGTCCATGATTTAGTGTATATCAATAATTTTCAACATTTTATTGCTGAATAGTATTCTATTTATGGCTTTACCACAATTTGTTTAGCCAATCTTTTGTTGATGGATGCATATTATTCTGTTCATCTTCCGTTTGTTCCCCTGCATGAGACTGAGTTCACTGAATATAAGGACCTTGCCTAAATCCTGCTTGAGTTCCCTTGACTTCATCTGCGCTTAGCAGACAGTAGTTGTTGGTTAAAAGTTTGCTTTTGAATGAGGAGATATGAGAAAGAAAGTCAATTGGAAATTACTTTGAATGGGGGGGGAGAGGCGGAGTTTAATCCAGATTTCTCCCAGTGGTTAAAAGGAAGTGATAAGCTCTTGAGCTGTGCTTGTTAGTGGGTATATGGTCCTTCACGGAAAAGGATGTGCCAGTCAGGAAAACGTTTTTATGGTTGTGTTTTGGGTGCTTGGAAAAGAGAGGGACTAAGATACACGAGACCTGTTAATGGATATCTGCTTTCAGCCCATGAACTAACTGGTCTGTGTTACCTACCTACCTCACCAAAAAGACAGGGTGACTGTGTCATCTCCTATCCAGTTATAGAGCTCTCGGTCTGCCCTTGTTGTCTTTGTTGCAGGTAATTCAAAGTTAATATTTGAAACAAGTGAACTCAAGCAGAAATGATGACTTTGACTTACAATATTGAGAAGTCATAGCTAGTCATATGATTGGAGGGCCAAGGATTTAGCTTAGTGGTGCCACACCTGCCTTGCAAGTGCAAGGTCCTGAGTTTGATCCCCAGTACTGAAAAAAAAAAAATGATTGGAGATCACGCTCTTTCCCATCTCCCACCTGCGGGGCAAGTGCACGGGAAGGGTTATGCCCACCCTGGCTACAGGAGGCCAGGAGGAGGCAGGCTGTCAGGACAGGTGAGGATGGCACTGGGTGTCCTTTGGCTATATGTAGGCTTTTGTTTTTGTTTTTTATTTTTCCTTTTTTACACATTTATTGAGGTATAATTGATAGGAGATAAATGGCACATATTTCAAGTATAAAATGTGAACAGTTTTGACATGTGGGAAAACCATCACCAAAACCCAAATAATGAACGTATCCATCACCACAGTCATTTCTCATGTACTTTTGTAGCCTCTCCACCCCTACTCTATCTCTTCCCCAGGAAGCCACCAATCTGATTTGTCACTATAGTTTAGTTTGCATTTAAAAATTTTTTCTATGTGAAATGAAATATATACATTCACCATATATACATATACTGTATGTGTGTATGTTTATTTATTCCTTTTCTCCAGTTCAGCTGAGGAAAAGAGAAAGCCCAATGAATTTATCCCCTGGGAATTTGTTTTAAGAGTTAAAGGTAACACCCCAGAAGCTAGCCAACTCCTCTATGCAATTGTGGTTGGCGATCTTGATAGATTTCCCTCACCTTAAAATGGCCACTATGTATAATAGCTGCCTTCTCCTTCCCATAATACCCTGCTTCCCTCCCAAACCCAGTTCCAAAATGGCTTCTTTCCTGCCCAAATTGGCCTTCTCCTTCCCATAATATTCTGTTTCCCACCTAAAACCCAAGATGGCTTCTCCAGCCAAAAGACAACCTTCTTCCAAACATGCTCCTCTTCCTGCCAAAAGAGTAACCTGATACTTGCTCTCTTCCTAGCAACTTGTTTGTTTGTTTGTTTGTTTGGTACCGGGGATCGAACTTGTGACCTTGCACTTGCAGGCAGGTGGTGGAACCACTGAGCTAAATCCCCAGCGCTCTAGCAACTAGTGATGTCACAGGCTCCTCCAATCCTGGTCACACACCTTTCAAACCCTCCAGTCCCTAACCACCAACCACATCCCCCAAACCCCACCCTAGCTCCCATAAAAGCTCTCCCTACCCCAGCCACACTGCTGCACTTCTTTGTTCAGAGGCAGTCCGGCAGATTGTTTCTTCTCCTTAATAAAGGCTTGTTGTGGTACTGGTCTGGTCTTGGTTTTTGGCTCTTTTACCTGACAGATCTTGAGTCAGATATCCTGCACACAGGCCAGGGTTTAATGTTACCAAGCAGATTGGAGGCAGGAGGTGGTGGTTAACTTTCTGGAACTCACTGGCACAATGTATTTAGTGTCCTTCACCTGTGAGTTTTATGAGGTTACTGCATGCAGTGAAGCATGGTGAATTCTGTTACATGAAGATGTTTCCATGTCACTGGAGCTGTGAAGGGTGGCCCTAGAACCGTCACCAACAATCCTGTTGCTACAGGAACTGTGCCAGCTTAGGTTAGCTAGCAGGGCCCTTGTTTCCCACTTAGAATTTAAGGTCCACACTCTGCCAGTCTCTGGGTTGTTGCATAATGGAACAAGAGTACACAAGTGCGTGGTATTACCAAGTTGCTGGTTAACCTACAGTCATAGTGACATGCTCACTTGGTTGCAATAATTTTTTATGGTGAATTATTCAGGATGCCAAAGTACTTTGACCCTTATTTCTGTCCCATCATTCTGTATAATGAAGGGGCCCAGGTGGAATCAGGAGACCCTCTCCACCACATTTCCAACCCCTACTCCTGATGTGTGACAGCTAAATGGAGTTAGAGGAGCGTGTGCCCCTCTGGGGCCATCTCCAGTGTGCAAGCCAAGTCCCAGAGGCCCCACCCACCCAGCCCTCCGGTGCTCAGCTTCTGTGCAAGCAGCCCCAGAGGTCACATTTCCTCCTGTGGATGAGCCATCGGATTTCTCTGGACATCTTCAAGGAAAGCTACTCGTAATGTCTGAGCGCAGACCGAGCTAACAGTGCAAGCAACAGGGAGTTTAGAGTGCTCAATTTTGCCAGAACCTAGCCAGCTGGCCTGGCGGGCCACAGAAGCATAGACACATCTTGTAGGTGCAGGAACCCCAGGGCTCAGAGGAGATAGTGTGTGGGGGGGGGGGGGGGGGGGGTTGTCACCCAGCCAGGGTCCTGCACAAGGTCCTTTGCAGTTAACCAGGCTGGGTGGGGAAGAAGTGGGAGAAGAGTCCAAGGTCTGCTGCTGGGCTGTTCATCTTGGCTTCATTTTCCTTCTGCCCTCTTGTAATCCCCCTCTGGTGTCCCCTCCACTCAGAGTCCCCTAACTACCATCCCCGTCCATCAACCTCCCAGGTGTCCTTTTTTTTTTTTTTGGCACCGGGGATCAAACTCAGGACCTTGCACTTGCGAGGCAAGCCATAGCACCACTGAGCTAAATCCCCAGCCCTGGTGTCCTTTATTTTTGCGTGAAAGTCCTCTAGGCTTACCTCTCCCAAAACAAGTCTCCAAAGAGGTTAGCATCCCACATCTGCCAGTCTGCTAAGGTGACCACTGGCCACAAAAGGCTACTGAGCGCTTGGGATGTGGTTAGTAAAACTGAGACACTTTTATTTTAATAAATTTAAATTTAAAAGCTGATGACTCATTCAGTAATTTGGAAAACTTAAATATGTTTGGAACAACTGCTTTCTCAACTGTTAATTTTATGAAATCTAAATACAAATCAAATATTTATAAGGAAAATTTAGCATCTGAACTGAGACACGTTGTATGTGTGAATGTTAAAAACTTTCTATGGAAAAATTAAATATCTCATTAAAATACTGATTATACATACTGAAATTACAGAATTACATAAAATATATTATGAAAATTAGAGTTACTGGTTTCTTTTACCCTTTTTTAGGGTGGCTACTAGAAAGTCTGTTTGGCACTATATTTTATTTCTCTTGGGCTGTATACTTTAGATTGTTTTAGCAGCATTTAGATGAGAGAAGGGCTAAGTGAAGGAAGACTTGAATTCCTCTGCCAGCCCGTGGTGCTTTCCTACTTCCCTGCCATAAGCCCAGATGAATCTTGAGTTCAGGGAGTGGGGAGGCAGGCTGTGGAGAGAGGGGAGATACCTTTGCCTCACTCCAGGAAGCGCCTTCCCTGGCCCCCACACCAGTGGGTGGAGCAAGTCGAAGGTTTGAGCACCTCAGGGGAACTGTCTCACACCCCACTTGTCTTCATCTCTGTAAGTAGCCATAGCGCCTGGTAAGATGCCAGCCAGAACTGAAGCATCCTCAGGTGCCAGCTGAAGGGACCATCAGAACCTGGAGGGTTTGTAAAGCTTCTACTCCAAAGCTCAGCCAATTGCTGTGTCACCTCCTAGAGCACATTACTCTTAAACAGTTCACCTATCTCTGTCCTTGGTTGTTAAAGTAAAAATTAGAAACTTCCCTAAATAACTCACATACACAGTGATGGTACTGGCTGTAACCTTCACAGCTCTGCCTCTTTTAGTGAACCAGGATGTTAAATCTGATCTTAGACAAAAGTTTATATGGGGAGTGATAGCTTGTTTCACAAAAGAATCTAAAGTAACAGCAACCAAAAGAGCCCATCACATACTAGGCACAGCACTCTGGGGAGTGAGGAGATAATAGGACCTGTTCCTTAGAGTCACATCCCTTTGGTTTGGAACATGAGCTTTCCTTTTCCCACCTATCCTTTTAAACCTGATCTACCCTTCAAAACCCAAATTTGTTAGACCCTACCTCCTCTCTGGTCTTTCCCTGATTACTCTGGATTTTCCACCCCGACCAAGAAGCAGCTGTGTGACTTGGGGCTGCACATGTCATAGGTTTGCGGGCCTCCATCCTCAGCTAAGTGGATTTAAATTAGTTTGGAGCCAGGTCCTAAGACCTAAATGTAAAGGATGGGATTATTTGTTCTCATTAGTTGTCCCTCACCATAACAGGGAGCTACAAAGTGCTTTGAAAATAGTAACACTTTAACCCTACCTCCAAAAAATCAGACTGACTTGAAAAACATTTTATTTATAATTTCTTCTATTTACAGTGTATGCCTTCATTACAATCATTGTTACAATAAATATGGACGTGCTAAACAGACCATCACCACAGTGGCTCCTGGTCCGAGGCACAGGCTCAGAGGGGTGCTGCAGGTCCCTGACCTTCCCAAGAGATGGTCAGGAAAGCCCACAGTTCCCTGAGGGTGCAGGAATTTAGGCTCTGAACTTTTTCCAGGACTAAGAAGTCAGCACAGCAAATCCTAGAATGTCTGTTAAAGCAACAGGTACAGGTTTTTACCAGATGATACAGAACAAAAAGGTTCACAATCCTGTTAGTGAGAGGCAAAGGAAACACTAGAGAAGGCAGGGCCTTGCCCCACGGTCCTCCCCAGGCTGTGCCTTGTTGTTGTCATTTCCACCTGCCATGTGTCCCCGAGGGGAATCCAGTTCAGGGTGACTGCACTTCCCACACCACAGCACCGGCTGCCTGCAGTGGTGGCTCTTGTCAGCGGAATGAGAGAGAATTGGAAGCAAACTGGAGCTCGGACTCTGGCAGGATTCTTGAAGCCTTCTTTCTGCTACCCTGGCTTTTTTTCCTCCTGGCCACGCAGGCTGAATGCCTGGGCCGTGCTGAGGAGGAGAGTGAAGGAGAAATGCCGCTGTTCATCTCCCTGTGTGGCTTCTTTTTTACGACCATCCCTTAGGCCAGTGTAATGATCTCTGTGTTCTCTCATCCATGTATGCAGCATTTTTTGAAAGACAGTCTCACTCCTCTGAAGCGGCTTGCACTAGTTTCTGATTGGCAGTGCTGGGCCAAGGCCAAGGAACCACCTAATTTGTGTTGATGGCCAGCCATGATGATGGTTGTCCTTGGGGGATGCCACCCAGGCTCACACAATATGTCTGTGCCCCCATTAAGTCCCCTGTAACCTTCCCTAATGAGACAAGCTACAAAGACATTGGACTTGCCATCATCCAAAGTGTGGCAGTGGACAAGAGAATTTTTCAAGTTGGACGGAGTAGAAGAAAACAGACATTATAAAGAAATCTATGCTTCAAGAGGACATTCCGTGCTGTCAAAATGAGACTGAATCAGAGTTCCCTGTGAACTCCAAGGAATCAGTGATTAGGGGCTGCTGGTTGAAGCTCCTTTCAGTCATGGAACTGACTAATCTCAGGGTTCTCACCTCTATTAGAGGAAAATGAACAAAATTAAGTCTTCTCAGAAACTGTTTTTGCAACTCGGGAGTGAGTGGAGACTCTTAGTTAACATTCCATAATTATTGGTCCTTAAATACTGCAGCCATGCTAGCAGATAGCTTCCTGCTCTTAATAATGTAAAAATGTGTTTTGGCTAAACCATGATCAGACATCCTCAAAGTCAGAGGATTAGACAAATCTAGATTTCAGGCTGGCAGTAAGAATACCACAGAAGTGACAAATGACATTTGGACAAAAGAGACAAAGTCTTTCTTGCAGTCATTTTGCTCCTACCAATTTCCTGTAGTTTCAAAGGAAGGTCTATTACAAACATATACTAATTTAAAAATGAAATAAAACAAAGGTAAAAAGAGAAAAGCAGATTGGACCATCCCAGCTCAGGTCTACTTTAAGAGGGAGAAACCATCTCATTTTTGAAGAAATAGCCTAATTAGTTGTAAAATCTTTGAAGTATGAAACATAACCATGGACAGGCTGGTTATTGGGCTTAATGATCAGATCTCATGTTGTGGCCTAATAGACAACTTGTGATTCCAGTTCTGACTCCAGAGAGAGACTTTGCTGGACCATGTATGTCTTCTTATTCTTGATCTCTCCCTCCCTCTTATCCCTTCTCCCCTCTGTCTCTCTTTTCATCTCCACCAAGAAATGGAACTTGAAACTGCCCTTCTTGAAGGTCCAGTCAGGTCTCTGACCCAATGGACAGGACTGTGAAAATGGCCCAATATATTACAAAGTGTATCTCGTATCATTTTCTGACAACCTGACCCTTCCTGTGTCAATTCTTCCCCAACATTTTGGGGTCAGATTTGAAGGGTTTGTCAGAGCAAAAGTAAACCCCAGGAATCTAACTCCTCCCATGAAGAAAGAAACTAAATTTCAAAAGCAACACTTAAACAGAGAGTGTACATTCTGGTCGGAAAGCTTGGAGAATAAACAGAATTTCCAGGATACTTGAAAACATTTCAGGTGAAATCCTGGTTGGAAATGTGTTCCAACCATGAACAGCCCACCTGTAGGTGACTCGGTCTGTGACCCAGACTCCAGACCCCTCAGCCATCTCACACAGGTACAGCAATTAGCTCAGAGTTCCTGCCTTCTGACCCAGGAGCTCCTCCCATCCATGGATCACACTGTGGGTGGCTGTGGCACAAGGGTAGGGGGAGGCCAGTGGCCCAAGAGTCTGGAGTGTTTGCAGGTTAAGCTCCAGAGAACATCTTGAGGAGTTTCAAGTGTCCAGAGAGCCAAGGTGTATAGCGAGGTGCTTCCTTGGATGTCTGGGAGTGCCCGGGGCCTCAGGGGAGAGTCTCAGTCTCCTTCTTGATGGCTGGTTTGTAAATGACTCCCTTGTTTTCACCTTTTGTGCTACTGGAACAATAAGATGTAAGTCTTGTTAGTCAAGAGGAGAGAGTGAGCCAGAGAGCAGTATGACTCAGAATCAGAATTGAAGGGGTTTTAGAAATCAGATTCCTCTCTTTGGGACCTTGCCTAGTTCTGCTGGTGTTGGGAAGGAGTTCCTCTAAGCAGAGCATTAATTAACTAAAACAGAACCTGTTCATTTTGCAGCTGTTCTTTAACACCTAACAATACTAGACCTGCATTTCAAAGGTCTCGTTATTACCTCTACTTCTAATTTTTGGTTCCATAATTCCCCCAAATTTTTACTTTTCATACCTGGAAAAATAATTATGTTTATGAAAATCCAAAAATTACAATAAAACTATAGGCCAAAGGAATTAATAGCTAATGTTAGAGATCAGGTTTTCCCTCATTTGTCTCTCTGGATCCATAGAAGAAAATCCAGATATAAAGATCTTAGCAAGAAGACTGCCTTGCTGATTGTATTCAGGTACAAACCCCAAAGCAAGAGACTTGTCCAGGGTCACATGGATAATTAGCAGTGGCAGCAGGGTTGATACACCTCCAAGTCTGAGCACAGTGAGCTTTCCATGACAGTGTCTTGTGAAGGAGGCAGGGGCATTGATGTTTTGGGCACAGCACTCCAAGGATAAGTGCTGGTTGAGATGCCAGGGACTCTGCCTTCTACAAGTTTGCCAACCCAGACAGACTGATCATCAAGGACACATAAGCCACCCATTTCCACTTGTTTCCAAACCAACTCACCCCTTCTTCCTTCTGAAAAGCCAGATGGACACTGCTAGGACAATGCAGATGCCAAGAATACCAGCCAGGGCCACGGACAGGATGATGCCTGGTGAAGAGGCAGCGGCACACGTTACATCCCCCTGCCCCATCGCATCCCATCCCACACAGGTGTGCACTGAAGTCCTAGCTGCATGATTGTCCCCAGAAAGGTGCAGTTTCCCCATCTCTGCTCTCAAATTCTGGGCTTTGGCTTAGTGGGGCTGGTTGTAATACTTAACAGGCTACTTATAAAGTTAAAGTGGTTTTCCAGCAGAGGTTCTCAAACTTGTACAAGATTCATCTGAAAAGCTTGTTCAAAATGTAGGGTTGTTTGTTTGTTTTGCCCAAGCCTCAAAGACTCAGCTTTGATCCATTTGACGGGTGGCCTAGGAATCTGCATTTTGCCAAATGCCTCCAGCTGATGCTGGTGCACATGATCCTTGAACCGCAGTTTGAGAAGCCCTGAGCTATAGAATAAGAACTTATTTCATCTTTGCTTCCTGGAGTTAAGACCCACTGGAACATCTGCCATTTTTGTCCCCAAGTTCCATTGCACTGTTGGACAGTCACCTGACCTCCACCCTGGGTTTAGATGCGTTTTCAGACAGTGCCATCCCACCATGACCAACAGAAGGTCTCAGGCAGGCTGTTTGTACACATGCTGTAGAGTGATTAGGCCTTTGATTAAAGTGACATTTGATTGGCAGTTCATCTTTGAATTAGAGGGTAACACAGAGTAAGGAGACCAGGAGCCAGAGTGACAGCAGAGAGAAGCGGAGAGGATGGGTTAGAAGAATCACAGGCCCAGGTCACACTGAGAATCACAGAGATCACCCAGTTGCAGCATGCATGGCTGGCTGGCCACATACCCATACTCAGTTCTGCGTCGGTAAGGAGTTCCATTATAATGGGGGTAGAAAAGATGGGAAATTAGAGTCAAACCATGCTGAATCTGGCCGTGTTGAGAGAAACTCTGCCTTGTGCCGGGCTTATGCAGCCTTTCTGGGCATGGTCACCTTTGGCTTAGATGACTGCCTTATGGAGTGGAGGGAGCGCCCACCTAGGGATTCTTACTGTGATCCCTCCTTCCTATCTCCTTTACCACAGAAGTCTCTTTGCCAGGGCAAGACTTCAGTTACTAACACAGTATGGCCAGAGAGGGATGGCGAGGAAGGTAAGAGTCAATCAGCCTACTTGGGAGGCTGCTCTCTGCTTCTCTGGTACCTGCCATCTTCCTCAGAAAGGACTCTGCCACCAGCCTCCTCCCCAACCCCCGCCACTCTGTCATTATGCTGCCTCTTTTGTTGCTTGGCCCTACTGAATGGACGCCTCCACTACACTTGCTTCTCATCTCTGCTCCATGGAACTAGGAGATCGTGCTTCTCCAAGTGAGTCACCGTTGGGAGTGAGTTGGGAATCCTCCGTGAGACTGAACCAGTACCTAGCTATCTAAGGGTCTCCCAGGGCAGATCACAAGTGAACCCATTTTCTTGCATGAGCAGAGCAGCCAAATCGTGCCATCTCCCTGGCTTTGCCCTGCCTGCTTCTTTCAGGTTCTTTTTACTCTTTCCCTTTCTTCCAGTCAAGTCCTCCGTCTAAAGAAAGTTTCCTCTGGAGGTTTTCTGATTTCAACAGAAAATGTGTGTGTGTGTGTGTATTTGCTGAGGCAGTTGTTCTAACTCACACTGGAAACCAGAGTTGTACAGGTGGTGGCCACCAAGCCTGACACACAGAAGTGCCTGTGCCTGTAGAGCCCACTAGGGCCTCCAAGACCCTGGGAGGCCCTGGCCAAATATGAGATGCCAGCAGAGGGCCAGCCTCCCTTTCTGGGGCACTGGACACTCTGAGGCACCACGTTTCAGGCTGCAGGATGAGGATTTGCTCGCTCCCCTTCTCCTTTCCTGTGGCCAGGATGTAGCTGATTCCCCAGCATCCATTAACTGTATCCCTTCCCTGGTATCGTTTTGCAATGTCCCATCGAGCCTGCATAGCCTCCCTGATGCAAGGCTGGTCCCTGTATGTCCCAGGTCTTGCTTCCCTAGGTGGCCCTAGGCTCCTGTGAGGGTAAACAGAACAGGCATGGAGAGAGCTGTCCTCAAGGACAGGGTGAGCTGTTCTTCCTGCTCTTGGCACTGCCTGCAGCTCATGGCCTCCCAAGTGTCAGAGAAAGAGATTCCCCGGCCAGATTCCCCACCTAGGCCTGTTCTTGTATCTGGAGCTCGAGGACCAATCTTCAGCTTGGGGAGGTGCTGGGGCCTTGAGTCCCATCTGAGAAGCTTCACATGTGTGTACAGCTTGTGGTGCACTGTTCCCCACCTGTTCCCCACTGTTCCCCACTGTAGCCTCTGCACAGTGCAACTTGGTATTTGGGTTTGTGGTTTTTGTTTAAAGGTACCCAGACACTTTGCCCCTCGGGATCTCAGGCAAACAAAACCTAGCCATGATTCTTTTCTAAGTCCTTTGATGAAATACACTTCTGTTCATTGTTCCTAAAGCTCCAGAAGCTTAAAGTACTAAAACCAGTTCTCACCACATAAAGACTATTACTAGCAAGCTTGGCCACTTTGCTAAGCTGTCTAAACTGGATGATATTCCTGCAGTTGACTCTTTCACAATCACCTCACATATGCTGAGAGCCACACAGGACTCAGGTACCTGAGCAGGCTCAGTCCATGGCTGGGGAGGTGCCTTCGTGCCATGGTCTTAGTTTGCTGAGCAGTCAGTGGAGAGCAAGGGTCCCAAGATGGGCCTTTTCTCCAGAGCACAGACCCAGCTTGGTGGCTTCTGCATAGGGAGAGTGGCTTTCCCCTGTTCACTGTGTAGTGCTTTTGACTGAAATAGGCCCACAAGACTACTGTATCATTCAATCCAGTGCTGTAACCCAAGCACTTTGCTCCTGGGTGACCACTTGTCAGGTGTGAAATTGGCTCTCCTTGAAAACAATGATATGAGACCAAACAGTCATGAGGATAAGGAACCCAGAGACTGGAACAGGTGCCTTCAGTATCTGTGATTTAGCAAAAACAAGGCAGCTTGACTGAGCATGCAAAGAGCCTACGTCACTAAGGAAAAGGAATGCCAGCTAGGGGGTCAGCTAATAGTTCTACCCTGCTATGAAGCCTGGGACAGGAAGATGTAGTTGGAACACCGCCCCTGCCAATCTGGGCAGCACCAACCATCAAGCAGATGGGCTTCTCTACAGAGATGGGGCAAGCCCACGGGGCCAGGGTCCCATTGGAGGCAGAGCCAGAGACTCTGCTAACCAAAAGGAGAGGGAAAGTCAGCAGGATGTTCAGAGCACAGGGCAATTCAGAGAACTACAGCTGGGAGAGAGAAGCCAAAGCCTGTTTCATAGCAGACCCTCACTGGGGCCCAGTCTCTAGGCCGCTTTAGAAAATAGGCCTTAAAGATGGCCAGAGAAAGTTACATTCAGATTAAACAAAGACTGTTTCTAAATAAGGACTAAGACAGGCAGTTTCCACTGAAGAACAATGAGACAAGGGCCGGGGATTTAGCTCAGTGGCACGACACCTGCCTCGCAAGCGCAAGGTCCTGAGTTCAATCCCTGGTACAGGAAAAAAAAGAAGAAACAAAGAACAAGATAGAAACTGAGACAGACTGCTTCAGAGGTGGCCCATGACAGCCACTGCAGTGCTAAGAACTCAGCAGAAGGGGTGCCTGAGCTGGCTGGTGACAAAGACAACATGCTGAGCTGTCTGCTGTCCACAGAGTGCTCAGGTTTAAGTCAGGGTGAGCAGAGACAAGGCAGTATAACACACAAAAGGAAATGACACAGACACAGAACTGGATTGTGCATGCCTTATCCAGGAAGGTACAGATACCTGGAGGAGGTTGGGAGCTGCTTGCCACAAGGGCCTTGCTACCTGTTCTGGCTGGCTCAGGAGCTGCATCTTCCACTGGCATCTGGCTGGCCCGAGGATGCTGGTTAACTGCTTTGAGGTCTCCTGAAGCCTCAATTGTGAACACAGACAAGTCCAGCCTGAGGAGCAAGCACCTCATGCATACATCTTGGGGTTCCTGGAACAACAGTCTAGTATTTTCTAACTCTGTTTGCAATTCTACTTGATTATATAACATAATCCTTTTTTTTTCAAAGTCTTATTTTAAAGTATCAAATTTTTTGTAGGCAGCAGGTTATACAGTGATAACATATATTCATCTATGGGTCTTCAGCAATCTCTAGTCTTATAAAAGAGACCAAGAGAGTTTAGCTTACCAAGGGTTCAGACATTTAAATACATAAAATCCAGTACGGGATGGTAAAATTCCTGTTACTGTGCTCTGTTATAAAAGACAGTGTCAAGTAACTACAACACTGGTACTCTCTTTGGATAATGCTTTGGTTAAGAAAAGCAAAGTAGCTGGGGGTGGAGGCGAACACCTGTCATCCCAGCACTTGGGAGGCTGAGTCAGGAGGATCGCCGTGAGTTTGAGGCCAGCCTGGGCTACATAGTGAGTTCAAGGCCAGGCTGAACTACATAGTGAGACCCTGTCTCACAGAAAAACAAGGAAAAGAAAAGTAAGGTAGATGCCCTCAGTAACCAGAGCATGACTATCTTTGGAGGATACATTTAACTGGGGAGCTTTCCTTATTAACACTATACAACCCAGTCAGGAAATAATTTCTACAAAAAAATCTGCCAAAAAGACCCCACCAGATTACACATAGGAACTGTTTATACAACTGTGATAGGATTGAAGGCTCTGTCTTCCAAACCGCAGGAGAGCAGGCCTAGAGCAGAGAGACACTGCTCCAAGGGACCTAAGAGCTGGAGCAGCAGGGGCAATTCCAGTGGCAGCCCTTGGTGCCGTGAGCCACCTTTGGTGGCCTAGGCCAATGTCCTGAAGGAGTGATGGGTGTGGAACTGGGCCCTCTGGTGAGTCAGAGCCACAAAAGGTGTGTAACACAGCTCAGCAACTTCCTCCCAGACCTCCAGAACCAGACGGGAAGCTCTGATCTTTAGTTTTTCTTAAACATGTGGGTTGATTTAAACAGAACAACATATGGGTTGAATGAGAACAAAGCAAAGTGAAACTTAAAACTAAAATTTGACAACTGGCCAGACTCATATATAAGTCATTTTTCAGAGAAGGCACTGGTGAGTTGGTGCAGGAAGTGGGAGACAAGTCAGTTACATTTTTTTCACCAGGCTTATAATGAGCGCCAGGCACTGTGCCAGACACGAAAAAGGAGTGAGACATCAATTATCCCTTCCTTAAGGAGCTGTATAGTGTGTATAATATTTATTTCCTTTCTTCCTTCCTGTTTTTAAATTATGGTAAGAAATATGGTATACAAAGTACTATAATAGGGATGAATAAGTTGGGTCTGGCTGTAGCAAAGAGACCATAAGTCACTTCCAGGGGACCAGGGAGGACTTATGAGGATGCAATTAGAGTTGGGTCTTGAAGGAATTTCCCAGGTGGAGGAGAGTGAGAGCCACCCCAGACAAAAGGAATAGTGTGTGCACTTGAAGGCAGCTGCCCTGTAAGGGAGGCCCTACAGTTGGTGGGACTGAGGCCGAGAGGGCAGGATGGGTGCCATGAGAACCCATGAGGGAGCTCAGCCCTGCCCCAGCCCTTTTCCCAGTCATTCCTAAGCACAGTGTGCTCTGAGCCAGGTGCAAAGTGAGGCATGGTGGGGTTTTCCATCCCCACAGTGCACAACTGAGCTGTACTCAGGAAACATGTCAGGTGTTGAAGGAGACTGGGACTTCACTTCTTAGCACATCTGGCAACTGCTCCAGACTATTCAGCCCCGAGGCAGATTTAGGAATCTGAAGGTAGGACTCCTCTGGTTACTTGGTTGGATGCTTTGGAAGAATCGTTGGTACTCTTCTAGCTAATGCCTTTTATTTATAAGTAAAAACTTAAACACAATGTCAATATCCATAGCACATATATTCTAATCTCAAATATTAATTAGCCATCTTAGCTGTAAGATTTCTCTCTCTCTTTTAAGGTTTTCTAAAACTACGCAGGTCCCTGAGGGTCAAGCAGATGCTAACAGTGCTACTCTAAGCAGATCCTAACCATGCTACTCTACAGTCAGGGCTCTGGCCCTGCAGCAGGTGACATGCATTTGCTCAGAGCAGGCCCACTGAAGATGTGATTATAGAAACTTGGCGGCCTCCTTTTGTCCCACCTGTTTCCCTTTCCTTGACAAGTCAGAAAAAATGCTAGATAACATTGGTACAGTGTTTATGTTTGATGGGCTCTTGCTATTAGCCATCACCAGAGTTGGTGTCATTGGAGTGGGAGGGGTCAGCCTGAAGCAGCCAAGAATCAGGCCAAAGCCCGAAGCCTGGACCCCTGGGACAGGCTTCTGCTTCTGCTATCTTTCTCATTACTTAGTGCATCTGACTCCTGTGCCATCTGAGGTGGTTCTGCAATGATTCCCCTCTCTGGGCGCCCACTTCAATGACAAGGTCTTCTTTGGAAGCAGAATCTTCTTTGGAAGAAGAACCTTTCAAGAGCTAAAACAGTACCTAGCATGACTGTCACTTTTCCGTAAGAGTAGACATTTTAACCAAAGGCAACAGGAAACAACCTACAAGAGAGAAAAACTCCTACAGAAGGGAGAGGGAAAGGAATGATGACGGAATTCTGAAGAAAGTAGCTACTTTAGAAGCCTCTGGACCCCAAATGAAGAGGTTTGGGTACTCCCATAAGGGGGACGGGTTCTTTTTCATGCCATTTCTCTTAGCCTCACCCATTTCTAGAAAAAGGAAGATGGGGAATGAGGCATCTCTTGGATTTGTTTGTTCTACCTCAATAACTTCAACTTTGTTGCTTCAGGCACAGTCTTCACCAGACTGAAATTTCATGCCATGACAGAATAAAGAAGACAGAATAAAGAAAAGACCAAGCCATGTGACATAGGACTTTAGAGTCCTATGACACAAGTGAAAAAAATCAGTCCTGGGCCTAGGAGAGTCATTGAACAACCCTTGGGGCAGTGGATCTCAATTGGGGCGCTTTTTTGAGACAGGATCTCGCTATGCACAGTTCAGGAAGGTCTGGAACCATGTAACCCAGGCTGGGCTCAAACTCACAGCGAACTTCCTGTCTGATCCTTCTGCCTCAGCCTCCTGAGTGCTAGGATTATGGGTGTGTGCCACCATGCCCAGCAATCAAGGGCTACTTTGCTACTTCTCCTCCAGAGAATTTGCCAAGGTCTAGAGATGTTGTTGGTTGCCACACGGGGAGACGGTATTGGCATCTAATGGGGACAGACCAGGGATGCTGCTAATGCTGCAGCACACAGGACACAACCAGAATTATCCTGCCTGAAATGTCAGTAGTACCAATGTTGTGAAACCCTTCCCCAGGGCAGAAGTACAGCTAGATTGTAAACCTCTTGGGACAGAAAGCAGGTTCTGTAATACTTTTCTGAGCACAGTCTAGGAAGACAGCAGGGTCAAGTGAAATGACTGAGTCTCAGTTGTCTCTATTTATTAAACCTCACATCTCCACCCCTTCCACCCAATCTCTCCTAGAGGATTTCCTTTACATTACTTTCCTCCCAGCAGAATTTCCAGACTCCATAGCTCTTGTTAACATCCAGAGAAAATCCTGAGTCAACCAGACCATAATTACAAACATGCCTCAGTGGAAGAGTCTACAAATAATTGAGTCCAAATTGCTCAAGGCTCATGCTAACAAACAGGCTCAACCGTAAGCCTGAGACAGCGTGTTACGGTCTGAGACCTGCTCCAAGCTGAGTTTGGGGCACACTCCCGGGCACATGAGGTTTGGCTCTTCACATCTCAGGGGCTGCCTCTTCATTGCTCCTGGGGAAGCACCCATGTTAGCTGCCTGTGTATTTGGGAAGTAAGAGGGACCAAATTCTGGCCAGGTTTCTATAATCAGCCTCCAGATGAACAGGTTTGCCTTGGGCTGCCATGAATTTTCACTGCAAGGAGAAAGCTGAGCCCAGCCTGGGCTCATGGAAGCGGCATGTGTGGTCAAGCCATGCAGGGAAGCTCAGCGGCAAAGCTGCACTTGGGCTTTGATCTTGACTACTAAGCTTCCTCAGTTGCTCTACAAGCTTCTGCTTCAAGCCCTCTCAATCTACCCGGCCACACTTGAAGAATTTACTGAAGCACTCTACTACAAAACCTGCCTTCACTACCCAATCTACAAGCAACTACTTGGATGGGAGCCAGTGTAAGAAGATGGCTAATTACTCCCAAAGCCACAGTCCATCATTACAAGTAGGGGTTACTGTTGGATGTCATAATCAAGTTCCTGCCCGGTTTCTTCTGATCCTCTGTAACTGCCCTCAATCTCTGTCCCTGCAATGTAAAGTTAGGATTGGTAGTTGTTAGTGTCCATTGAAAGTTATAACATATTACATTGAAAGGCTGTTCGATCCCTTCTTCCAACCTGGCATGTTTTAGCCAAGAAACCAAGGCTAAAGAAGGAATACAGTATGTCTGTATCACACAGCAAAAGACAGCAAAATGAGGGCTTGAAATAAGGTCTCCTGGCTGTAGGGAGAAAATTTATTACCTCTTTCCCAGGGTTGTGCATAGACTAGCTCAGGAAGCAGAGGTCAAAAAACAGATCACTTAAATCTCAAGCAGAATTCTACCTGACCTGTGTGGGCAGAATCCCTTATCTCCAGGCAGAGTTTTGTATTTTTTAATTTTGTTTAAAGTATGGCAGTAGTTTCATTTACCCTGTAAATACTGCTTATTTTACTTGGAAGAATTGGGACAAGAAAATACTCTATCCAAAATAGATCACTAAGGAAAGCATCCTGGGCGCTTCCTAGAAAAGAAGGTGTTAATTATCTTCCAGATTCTCAATTTTATGAAGGGCCATTGTTCATGGATTCAGTTTTCAAACTGAGAAACTGAGGAAAAGAGGGACGTGACCTTAACTAGTGCTATCGGGAGAGAACATCAAAGATGAATTCTTGGGCAGTTCTTAATTCAGTACCAACAGAGCAGGACATAATTCTGACCATGCAAATGGGTCAACTCAGAAGGGCAGCTTTCTAAATGTTTCTTGCAAAGGCCTTGAAACGGTCTTCATTTACACAACTAGACTGAGTGGTGATAGTTATAATCTCATATAGTAAGAAAGGAACAACAACAAAAAAGCACATCTGGTAAGATGAGCGCCACAGGTTCTCTGACCAGTGGGTTAGACTTCAGCTTTGAATATGGACAGCTGGCCCAGCTGATCCATGAGAGATAATAAGAGGATGAAATGAGGCTCAGATGGACCTGCTGCTGAACACCCAAGATCCCCACGGTGGAAGAGGCTCAAGAATCTAGTGAGAAAGTGAACTCCAAGTTTTGAAGAAAGATGTGGGTCCCTTATCCCTTTCCAGAAGTACTGATGGAGGCACTGAGCAAATAAAATGTTAATGTTCTTCTGGGAGCTATGGATTTAAAGGGAAGAGAGCCCTCACAGCAGTAGGAATAAACCAAACTATTATGCTTCATTCAAATTGGAACAGGTACGCATGTGCTTATGCAAGCACCAAGGAGATTAGACAAAAAGACTGTGAATGAGGGTGCTCTCTTGCCGAATGGGCCCTGCTACATTAGACCTTGAGCTGCTGTAGCCATGACCTTACAAAGGAGCACTGTGGGATGTTGGTGGGGGGTGAATCACCAAGAAAACCTAGGCGGGGTGGCCGCCGCCCTTGATGCCAAGAAAGCCTAGTACAAGAAGTCAGAAGTCAAACCTCATGACAAACGTTGAACCTCATGACTATCCTGTGTCTTGGGAGACAAATCATTCCTCACAGTGGAAGTGCCCTAGATCAGCTCTTCCTGGAGACCTGTGAAAGGAGACCCCAATAACAAGCCCCATACCACAGCTCCTGGTTGTGCCTCGGTTCCTTAGCCAGCCTCCCAAGGGTGCCAGTGCCGGAGACAGACTTTACGACACAGACATCCTGGGACCCCCACATGCCCCACCCCCACTACTGCCTCCCTCACCTTGTTGGAAGGAGATGTACACCAGCCTCTCATCAAACTTTTGTACTCGCCGGAAGTTGTTGACCATTTCTATGGGGGAAGGGTCGCCCACATCTGTGCAGTACAGAGCTGTCTCTAAAGCCAGCAGCTGAAGGGAAAAGCAGAAACAAACCCCATGGGTGGACTGATACTCCCAGGGGAAGATCACATAGGAGAAGCCCCTGGGGCATCTGGTATGAGGAATAAAAAGCAGTGAGAGTGCAGAGAACTGTCTCCACACTGCCCCCACCAGTCCTCACTAACTGGGTGCTGGGCAGTGTTGGAGGCCAGCTCCCAATTATGCCACAGCATCTCCCCACAGAGGGAGACAGAGGGCCTCTTAGCTTCTCCCTTGAACCTGAACTGGAACCCAGCTCTTACAGTAGAGAGCTTAGGGTTTGTTCTGATGGTCACAGAAGGAATAAAAGGAGAGAGTAAAAGGTTCCAGGTCATCTGACTGTCGCTTCCTGGCGTTTTCACATGCCCACAAAGATTATATAATTGGTTTCCAAGGGAGTTTCTGGGTTAGGATGTTGCTGCTTCCCCGCGAATGTCACCTCTGATTCTCATCCTCACTGCTGTCCACCCACCAGCTGACACTCTAGGTAGAAGCTCATAGTAACGAGCAGGAGCAGCCGTGCCTTCTGTCCCAAGGTGGGTGTGAGGTCGGCAGCTCAGCCCAGCTGCCTCTCCTGGGGCCCGAGTTTCTTCTTCATGCTTGTAGTTGTGGAGTACAAGAATGAGCCATGACCTGGAGACTCTGAAAACCTGACTTTGGGTCTCAAGTTCGTCACTAACCAGTGGGGATCCCACAAACTCCTGACCCCCACCTCCTTCGTCTGTATCCTGAAGGCTTAGAGGTGCTGGCTCGAGGCTTTGCTTCCCACTTACTGCTGTGATCCCAGCACCCTCTTTGGTAAAGGACTTAACTGGATGCAGGCTTTATTCTGCCCCCTTCAGGAGCCAGGGTCCCTCCCTGCTGGGGAAGCAAAGAGCATCCCGCCACCTCTGGCTATCTTAGCAAATTTAGTCATATAGCTCTTTTAAAGAACCGCAGAGACACACAGTCACTTTCCTAGCATGTCTCTTCTCTAAGGCTCAGCGGGTCATTCCTGCAGTGTCTTCAGGCACCACTGATATCTGGAGAGGTTTTGAACAGCTGCCGGTGGAACTCTAAGCAAGGAAATGTAGCTACTCACTGTGACCCAGTGTAGGGCGGGGACTGAGGCATGGTGTGTACTCTGGCTTTGACTGTTACCTGCTCCTGGGAAACTTGCACAGTGTTGCGGAAAACCGTCCAGAGCACGGTGGGGTTGCAAGGTGGGGTGGTCAGGGACCCCTTGTAGCGGTAGTACTCAGCAGGCTTCTCAGGAAGCAGCTCTTCGATGTTGAAGCCTGGGATGAGCACTTGTTGACCTGGAGGGACATTGAGCGAGGGGGAAGGTCAGCCTCACTCCCTGTGGCAGCCATGCATGTAGCTGAGCACAGAAATGGAGTTTGTCATCGTGAACCCGCCTCTTTCTGGATCATCCATCCGAAACACTGTTACAACACAGTTCAGCAACCTGACGCCCTTAACCTGGTGAACACTAATAGCACCCACCCCTTGCGTTTGTCTTAAGGTGACACAAGTGTGACTACTCCAACAGGGAGGGAATACGCATCCGGGGCCACTCACCTTTGTACTTCACGTGTTGAAGGTGACTGAAGATCTTGTCATATGATGGACTGAAGGAGCCCCTCTACAACAGAGATCAGGAGGGTGAGCTGTGACAGAACGCTGTAGGCTGAGCCTGGATGAGCAGTTGGTGTCAAAAGGGCTGGGATGGAGGTACATAGCCACCGCCTTAAGGTCCTCTCTGAGGGCCCACCTTACTAGGATGACTTTGTGGGTCATGAGGTTGTTGGGAATTAGTGTAATGGCCCTGCCCTCTTGCATCAAAGGACACCCTCTTTTCATCATAAGGCGTTGAGCTTGTGTCCCAGGGCACAGGATACAGGGACTAGCATGTCCATCTAACCTAGAACTGTAGGGAGTTCTGAGGTCCCAAAAACCAACCTAGAGAAGGAAGTATATTGGGAAATGAGGTACGTACGTGTAGCTTCAATATGGGGGAAATGAAAGCTAATTAGAAGACATCCCAGTTTTGGGGATTAAAGAATTCATCCCAGGGTCTATATACAAGATGGAGCTTTGATACCAGAATTATAATTGGTTTAGGCATCCAATGGGACAACATAATGATCCCTTCTCTTCCAGGGCCTCCCCAGCTGGGCAGTTCTGTACTCATGCAACAATGCTGGAGATTGGGGCTCATTTTCCATGTCACAAAAGACATCCATTTCTGCTGCCAAGCCCACATGAGAGGGAACCATAAGCAGTGTACCCCTGCTCTGGAGAGGGGACATGGCCCACTCAGGAGCAGCTTCTCACCAGCTAGCATGCATAAAACAAAGTGCCAAGCTACTCATTTTATGTACATCCCCTTAAACATCTCTCACCTCGAGGAGAACAGCTAGGACGGCGATGCCTCCTGACTGGTCACTGGCAGCACTGATGTTAGGGTACTGGTCTGAGTTATAATGGACAATGTGCAGCTGCAACGGGAGAGTGGGAGAAAAGCCACCCGTCGTGGGGCAAGCAACTCACAGGAACTTTTTGCTTCTGAGGAGGCTTGAGTCTAACTGGGAAGAAAGACTTCATCCCTCCCTTCCCCCAACTGACCCTCCCCTCCTGGCATCCCCAGTGTTCCCTTTTCCCTTGGTCCTTTCCAAAGTGCAGACTTCACCAGGGCAGATAGGGCTACATTAATCACTGGGTCCCAGAGTCTGATAGGGTACCTTCGAATACCACATATGCCACAGACACGCATGCATGGATGGATGGGTAGGTGGATAGGTAGATGGGTAGGTTTTTATATTAGCTACAAAAAAAGCCTGGGAACTTTGGAGCTCTTCTCCCTTCTGATTTTCCTACTTATTCTGGACCCTGGGGCAAAGTGGTGTCCAGTAGTTGTCACAGCCTCAAGCTTGGCCTCTGCACTTGATCTAGAAGCACTGGGGTTTGGGGATGGATGGGTAGGAAACCTCCAGCTGTAACCTAATCATTGTGGATACAGCAAGGGACGAACATGTTTATCCTTCATGGGAAGCAAATCACAACATGGCTTTTGTAAAGGTTTTATCAGCTGCTTTTGTAGAGATGACAAAACCAGAATGTTACTCCATGTCTATACACTCCTATCTTCACAAAATAAAATTCTAAAATCATTTCTTTTCAGAGCACAAATTATTTGTCATTATTAAAATGAGGAAAAAAGTTTTTGAGAAATTATGGGTTTAAGAAGTCTTAGAAGTTGGGTGTGGTGGGCACCCCTGTAATCCCAGCACTCAAGAGCCTGAGGCAAGAGGATCACCACAAGTTCAAGGCCAGCCTGAGCTACATAACAAGACCTTGTCTGAAAAATAACAACAAAAATGATCTTGGCAAATACTAAGACCATTGTTGTGACAAATTCTGATAATTTTTAGCCTGACCTATGTGTTTTGTTTTGTTTTGAGATGGGGTCTCACTATATATTCCACTCTAGCCTTAAACTCACTATGTAGCTCAGTCTGGGCTTGAACTCATGGTGATTCTCCTCCTGCCTCAGCCTCCCAAGTGCTGGGATTACAAACACGTGCCACTAGCCTGACTTAGCACTAAAGGTGCTAAAAAATGTCCTTCAAAAAATACTTTATTTGCCAGGGATTTAGCTCAGTGGTCCCGCTGCCTGCCTTGTAAGCACAAGGACCCGAGTTCAATCCCCAGTACCAAAAAACAAACAAACAAACAAAAAAAACCAACAAAAAATACTTCATTAGTAGATAGCTCTACATATATCACACATGTGTTTTTATTGAGGTACCCCTGAGACTATGAAACATTGAGGTGTTTATATCTTGCTTTTCATTCCTTTTTTCTATTTCTGTATCTGTAAATAGAATTCAAGCATGTTTTATTGACTACAGTTTAATGTCCCCATTTGAACTTTTAAGTGGCCCTCTCTAATTTTTAAAACTGTATCAAATTGGACCGGGGATTTAGCTCAGTGTTTCCAGCACCTGCCTTGCAAGTGCAAGGTCCTGAGTTCGATCTCTAGTACAAAAAAAAAAAAAAAAAAGAAAGAAAAACTGTATCAAATTATTTTTTTTAAAGTGGTCCTCTATTAGGAATTTCTTAGGAGTCCGTACTTCACCACCTATTGCCCTACAGGATAGATCCGGTCACATTGTCCACTGATGTGGCCTAGCATGAATTTGAGACATAGCAGGATTCTGTATGGCTAAAATTCCACAGTCCTGGGTTCTTATTTCTTTTTACCAATGACCTTTGAGCTTGTGATCTGTCCGAGCACTCTTCTTAATGTATTAAGATTAAATCAGGGGCCGGGGATTTAGCTCAGTGGTTTCACTGCCTGCTGCACAAGCGTAAGGACCTGAGTTTGATCCCCGGTACCAAAAAAAAAAGATTAAATCAAAAGAAATTTCCTGGGGCCAGAGATTTAGCTCAGTGGCACTGCACCTGCCTCACAAGCGCAAGGTCCTGCGTTCAATCCTTGGTATGGGGGGGGGGGGAGTTTCCTACAGAGGGATTTAAGAGTCTTCTTTTAAGTCTCTATCCAGAAGAACCACTGCTTTCAAAGACTTTCCCTAGAGAATCTACCACTTAGGATTACCTTGATGTCTTGTATCAGCATTTATGGTCTGTCTGCATCAAACTCTTGGTCTGATGATGTGGCTTAATAGCAGAAAATACAATGAGTAGAATTATTTTAAATGCCTAAGCCCTACCAACCTACATCCTAACTCCTTTAGTCCTCACAAGGGAAAGCGAAGTCTCAACATTGCAATTAGCCAGGAAGAAATTGCAGTTCTTGAGCTTCAGGGAAGAGCCTGCTCTGAAAATGTGAACCTCCAGTAGCTCCATCCTATTGGGCCAGGATCCTATGCCCTCCACACTTGTAACCAGACCTATAATTAACCTGAGACATTAAGCAGTTCAGCAGTTAAGGAAGGAGGAGAATGGTCATCCCAGTATTTACCATGCACTCTGCTGGCTGATCGCTAGCATTTATCTCCTTGTATTTATTTCCTTGTAAACATTCAGAACTACATGCTCAGCTCATTGCTACAGGAGCACCAAAATGGAGCAACTCAGTGCCCTTCCCATCTTACTCTATCACATGCTGTGGTACAGGAAAAAATGCTCTGTATCTCCTCTCCTTTTCTTTAGTTTTTTGAGTCAGCATCTCAGGGTGACATGGCACAATTCTGTGCTGACATCCCAAAAGATCTGAGTCTCTGCTTGCTGTGATGTCCCACACATTATATGCCAGTCATTCCTTGATTTGTGGCCAGAGAAGCGTGGCCGTGCATCTGTCCCCAGTTCCCAAGCATGACTCATGTCCGGGGGGAGAAAAAAATGGGATAGAAAGACATTTGTAACCAGCATGACATGCGAAGAAAGACTGTGAAATTGGGGGACCAGCGAGCCCAGGGTGAATCAGCATGAGATACATCAGCCAGGCAAACAGACAAGATCTCTATTTGTGCAGAGAAGATGATGTCTAGAAAAGGGGGGTGCGTACATCCCACTATGCCATCCAGGGAACTTGGCCTTCCCAGCACCATCACTCACCAAAGGAGAGAGAGACCAGCTCAGCATGTTCAGAGAAAGGGAAGGACCAGGAGCCCTACAGATGGGCTACAGGGTGGCCAGAGCAGCTGGTGCAGGCCGGACTGTGAAGGCACCAGCTCCCTCAACTCATCCACACGCCAGCTAGGCAGAGGGGCTGCCAGGCCACTCACTAGGGAGCCTCCACCAGACCAGCTGTCCACTCACCTCAGCAGCGAAGTGCTTCCCACTGATGGTGTGCTCAGAACCAAAGGGCTCCTTGCTGTCCCCCCAGTGCAGGTGCAGTTGTGTGGCACGGAATCGGTGGGAGCCGAGGCCCTGGATGTGCATGTCTGGGTGCAGGTACAGCCTCACTGTGGGGAGTGCAGGAGATGCATTCAGAGCCCTGGCCAGCAGGGTGGCGTGAGAGAGCAGTCAGGTGGGCAAACCCTGCCTAGGGTCCAGACAGGGGCACGGTGGGTGCAGCGAGGTGTGGAGCTGCAGGTCAGAAAGCTGGCCTCTCACTGAGCTCATCCCTGTCACCCCAGAGCAACTCCAGTGGCACCAGTACCTTCATGGTTCCCCTTGGAAAATGATGCTGGATGTACAAACACTAACTACGCCACTGATGGATGTTTCTTTATGTATCCATGTATCAGACCCCTGAACGTAAAGATAGAACCTTCCAAGCTTTAGAATTATATAACAACAGCAGTCATAAAAAATTACCATTTATTGGGACAGGGATTTAGCTCAGTGGTTCTGCCGCCTGCCCCGAAAGTACAAGGACCCAAGTTCAATCCCCGGTACCAAAAAAAAAAAAAAATTACTGTTTATGAAACATTTACAATACCCCAGATCCAGACATACTTGATCTCCAGTCTTCCCAGTGCTCATAACTATGTCCATTTTCCAGATGAAAGCTCAAGGAGGTTAAAATTCCTACCCAGAGTCTGATGGCTCATAATCAAGCCAAGATTCAAATCTAGGTTTTCCTGATGCTAAAGCCAGGATGTCCACCCTCCACTCCCTGCAGCTGAACTTCATGGTCCCGCAAGTAGTTCAAGACAGCCCAGAACCCCCTCTTGCAATGCAGCCAATGGACGAGGAGCTCCTCCCCAACCCTGAGAGTTGTGCTTCTTCTGAGATATGCTGCTTTGGCAGAATCACCTCAGCATGTCTTGGAGTCCCCCTACTTGGCCCCTTCTGGGTGCCTCACCCCCGCCACACACACACACACACACACACACACAGAGAGAGAGAGAGAGAGAGAGAGAGAGAGAGAGAGAGAGAGAGAGAGAGAGAGAAAAGGGCAGGCCAGGGAGCCAAGGGAAGCCCAGAATACCCCTCAGGTCTCTCCCTCACCTGAATGGCCATTATTGGTCAGGTTTAGCCGATCACCGGGAGACACATTGTAACCTTGGAACTCCAGGGGCCCAAGGCTGGCATCATACTGGAGGATGTCACTGTGCAGGTCTATCGGAGACTGCAGCTGGCCCCCACATGATGGGTACTTCTTGGACCAGCTCTTCTCCCCATCAGGACCTGGAAGGAGGGATTCAAGCTCAAGATTTAGCCCATTTTCTACACAGGTATTTCCTCACCTTCTAATTCTGTATTCATTACAACTACTCCTTTTCTCCTCTTCTCTTATCTCTAGAGGCAAACTGTTCAAGACTCAAAAATCCCAGGGTACAGAATCAGGTCCAGCAAATACCTCGGGACCACCTGCCATGAAACCACTGTGAGGAATGGAGTCTATTAGCCCTAGAGACCTCTAGCAGCTCATGCTGGAGACTAGAGCCCCCCAAATTCTACCTTGTACATGATACGCATCCTCCCTGCATGAAGACTATTGAGTTTAGCAATTTATCATCTGCTTATTGAGAATCTAGAATGATCCAGGAAATGCACTGGACTTGGAGCCATCAAGTTAACACCACAGGGGCTCTGCTCACCCAAGCAGGCCTTCTAAGGAATCTGCTAGGCTGTGCCCAGCTGGAAAACTGGTGTCTGACTGAATGTAGCTCCAGGTAGGTCATTAAGGTTGGTAGCTTTACAGATATGATCTTCCTGACAGGAAACCCTGGAGGACACTGACTCCAAACCCACATCTAGAGTGCAAAACCCAACCTGATAGTGATGCTTGAAAAATGTCAATTATAGGCCTGGAATCACAGAGCTAAATGCAGGCTTTTTGCTGGGGGAAAGTATGACAATACTACAAACTAATTATTACAGCATAATTGACAAACTATCTGTGAGGAGGAACAGACTTAAAAACAAAAATCCTCCAGGGCCCAAGCTTCTTGCTAACTACTAGATAGTAGTCATTCCTCTGGAAATGAAAATAAACATTCCATGTTCAGATAAACTGCCCTACTCCCATGGGGAAAAATCTTTAAAGAATGTAAATCTATCTTTAAAAGATTATCTCCCATGGTAATTAAACCATGGCTAAGTTTCTCCTGAAAAGCAAATAACTGTTGTGGTGTCGCTCATTTGGGTTGAACAGTGGTACCCAGTGGCCTATACCAGAGTTGGAATCAGGCTTTGCCACCTGAGGTCCATTCAGCAGAATAGGGCACAAGGTAGTTGTTAACTAGAATAAGGGGGAAAGGGATACTCTTCTAGGGACCCTCCCACAGACAACAGCACTGCTTCACGGGCGGGGGCGGGGGGGGGGAATCTTGACCCCTATATCTTGTTCTCTAAGTAGGGGAATTCATTCAGAATGGGTAGAATCAGAAATAATACTTGGTACTCTGGTTCATTTAAAATACCATGAGAGCCAAGCATGGTGGTGCACACCTGTAATCTCAGCACATGGGAGGCTGAGGCAGGAGGACCATTGTGAGGTTGAGGCCAGCCTGGGCTACATAGTGAGTCCAAGGCCAGCCTGAACTACACAGTGAGACCCTGTCAATAAATAAATAAACAAACAAACAAATAGAAAAATAAAATGCTATGAGGAGTTGATCCCAGGCTTTGTTTTTCCAGGACCAGGCACACAGCAGAACTCCACTAAATTTTGAGGCTGTCCAACTGTGCATGTACCTTTTTGGAAATGTTTTGAGTCTGAAGGGATTTCAGAGACTCCCGTCTGACCTTTCCCTGGATGCCAGTATTCTTTCTTGTCTGTGCAGCAGTCACCACTGAGCTATACTCTCTATTGTCAAGGTCTCAAAGCTCCAGACTCAGAGCAACTCAGCTACACCCAGATGGTGACCTGGGGAGAGGGGAGGCTGGGGGAGACCAAAGCAGTCAGTCACTGCAGGGCCAAAGTGGAGGAAGACAGGCCCTCAGCCGGAAGCAAAACCTAACTCTAGGGACAGCAGGGAGCAGAAAGAAGCCACCATGAGGCATCATACTAGCCTCAGGGGTCAGGAAGGGACACTGTAGGTGGCAAGACTTTCCAAGTGAGGCTGCCAGCCTTTCTATGCTCACAACACTGCTTGGGCCCACAGCCAGGGTGGCGGAAGCTGCAGTCAAGCATGAATAGAAAACCCAGGAAGTCAAGAGATGTAGCAATGAGGAGACTTCTTACACACACGACTGAAAGGAACTGGGTTAGAAGGTTTTCTTTTCCCAGTGTGGAAGTGCAAAGGGTTCTATTAAAAGGGTGTTTCAATGATGTTTGTGCAAGAGCCATTTCCAGCTCTCTAAGCCCAGGTGGTGAATAGGGTCACATGCCTAATAGGATTTAGTAAACATTTTCCCAAAAGAACAGAGAGCTTGAGAAAAGATTTCTAGGAGGAATATTTCTTTTTAATTGTGCCCCAAATACTATTTGTTGGAAGATAGGACCGATAAACTGTTTATTGGAAGGTAGGGCCAAATTAGGTATTTGAAGGCAGGAAAGACTAAGGATATTGGGTTTTTTTGTTTGTTTGTTTGTTTTGGTACTGGGGATCGAACTTGGGACCTTGTGCTTGGGAGACAGGCACCGGAACCACTGAGCTAAATCCCCGGCCCAAGACTAAGGATATTAAAGGCAGCAAAGTCAGTGTTGGCAGAATCTTCCTTGGAAAGAGAAACAGCTATGCTGGACCAGGAGAATTCAGAAAATAAGATTCTAGTGCCAGCTGTCCCACCACCTCCATCAAAGACCTTGAACAGGTCAGGTTCCCTGCAGGCTCCATTGCCTGTGGCATATATTGGATGGTGGAATACTGTGTTGTGCTCCAGAAGCTTCCTCTGGCTCTCCACCTCTGAGATATATTAGGATGTCACCCTCTGCACCATGCAAGTTTCAACGAGTTGAGAGGGTTGCTCATCCAAGGCAGCTCCTATCCTGTGATGTGGGGCCAAGTGGGAATCAGCTTCAGGAATGAGGGCACAGGGGGCTGGTGCCTTTGGGCTAGTTGGGGAGTAGACAGACATCTGCAATCGGGAACCTGCTCCAGTCCTGGCCACTGTCCACAGCGAGCTCCTTGGGCACTAGTCACAGGCCCTTATGGCAGCAGGATCTAAAACAGCCTTTTCTATTCTTCCTCCTGCTTCTTCTTCACCACGATTTATCATCATTGCCATTACTGTTATTAATTTATTTTAGTAGTTTTGATCCTTAGAACTCCACTGCTCTGTGAGGTAAGCAAGAAGGGAGTTGCCCCATTTTATAGATGAGAAATTGATATTAAGTGATTTGTCCAAAGTTATACCTTGGCTTACTAACAGTTACCTTGCTTGGATCAGAAGTCCTGTGTCTTTCTGTTTCAGTATTCATCTGGAAGATTTTGTGCATCTGTTTTCTCCCTCTCCCATGAAGTGAGGACTCTGTCTTATTTGTCCTGGTATTTCCTACAATGCCTGGCACAGAGCAGGCACTCCCATGTGGACTGAGCTAGGTTCTTACATCTGCTTCCTGCTTGCTTTTTTTTTTTTTTTTTTTTTTTTTTGGTACCAGGGATCAAACTCAGGGCCTTGTGCTTGCAAGGCAGGCATGGTGCCACTGAGCTAAATCCCCAGCCCCCTGCTTGCTCTTTTTTAAGGGAAGCAAGCACTCACCTCAAATCCCTCATATATTGTTTCCCTTCCAAAAAAGAGGAGGAAAATGGAATTGTTTTCTCAGATTCAGAATGTGCCCATCCAGCTTCCTAGCTTACCTGTAGGAGGCTTGGTTCTGTTTGGGACCACTTGTTGAAAAGAAATCTGATTTCTGCCCTGGTGTCTGGGAGGTGGCCTGCGAAATGTAGCTTTGTAGAGTTTAGTTGTCTGTCCACCGGCATGTGATGGCTCCTGTCCCCTTCTTGCACAGCTGGGGATACTGTCAGAGCAACCTCCTATCTTTGTGGCTTGCACATGAGAGACAGAGGTGCCATGGGATAGGCACAAGGATAACCAAAATCAAAGGTGACAGCAGCAGCCTGTGTCTGGCCCATGTGTGGCCTGTGGCCACAGTAGGTCCAGCCTTGCTGGCAGCTACACCACTGTAGTATTTCAACCAAGTTTCAGCTTTCACCCTTGTGCCAACAGCTATGCTACCAGAGAATCTGGGTGGCAGTGACTCTTCTCAAAGCAGCCTTGACTTCCAGCTAAACACCTGGCTTTGCTTTGGGTTTTAACTTTACCTCTTCAGTTGGTTGGCTTTTCCCAAGATCGTGACAAAGGAGATCATGTGTATCTCACAGTTTGTTTTCCCAAATAAAATCAAGGCATTATTTCTTTTTCTTTCTTTTTTTTTTTTTTTTTGGTACCAGGGATTGAACCTCAGACCTTGTGCTTGCGAGGCAGGCGCCGGAACCACTGAGATAAATCCCCGGCCCTAGGTATTATTTCTTTCCAGTTCATGAATTTTTCCTGCTCTAGCCAAAAAGCAGCAAATAGATTTCCTGTTTTGAAATGTAATGAGGGATTGACATGGCATGGTTCAAACTGCCTCTTGTGATTTCTAACTAGGCATTACAAGGCTCTGGGGTACAGGACTTGCATTATCCAAAGATTAGCATTTGTTTTTTAAATTTCAAACATGCAGAGGAGTAAAGTGAACCCCACATCACCCAGCTTGGACAGTTTACAATTTACAGGCAGTCCTGCTTCCTTCCATCTTCACCATCTACCTGGATAACTCTGAAACAAATCCAGGTAGATTTCATGTATACATATTTCAGTATATATGTCTAAAACATGACTCAAAACAAAACCACAGTACTGATACCTTAATATTATTGAACCCAGTCAGCATTTGCATTTTTCCAAATACATCATAACTTTTTAATGCTTTATTTGTAGAATTCAGGAGTCATTAAGGTTCTCATATTGCAAGCAGTCAGTCAGTGTGTTAGGGCCCCAGATTACAGTTGGTTGGTGTGATTCCTCATCAAATTGTAACTGGGCCCCATGCCTACCACACTCAGAGTTTCAGAGCCAGGCCAACTCTTTGCCCTCAGTTGGCCAAGGGAGTCCCAGGTTTATATCACCACTGCCACCTCCAACCTGGGTGAGGCCTTCACAATATTCCTGCAGGTGACACAGCCTCAGCCTTTCTCAGATGCCAGGCTCACTCTCCTGTTGTAACCAGATAGATCTGGTGGTAGCCCTGTTTC